ATTGTGAATCTCGGTCGTAATTATTCCCTTTTTCTTTAGATCCTTAAGGAAATTGGTCAATTGTCTTTCTACTTTATTATTGATGTCACCATTACTAGTAATTTTCTGAAATTTGCTAGGATCGCTAAGTATTGTTTCCATTTTTCCCATGTAATTATTTTTGTTCATGAGAACTACACCTCCTCCTTTATCTGGTTTGCTTATGATCAGAGTTTCATCTTTTCTTAGTTTCGTTAAAAAGTCTCGATGCTGCTTGGTTAGTGGGTGATAGTAGGCATAGAATCAACCAATTAGATACTGATGTACAATTTGAGAATTTATTTTCACGAACGACTGTCTTGATTTCAACCTCGTTGGAGGATCTTGCTCGATTTAATACCACATTAGTTGATAGCTGCCAACAATATAAGAATAGTAAGGATACCACAAATCACCTACTAACCCAGCAGCATCGAGACTCCTTAACGAAACTAAGAAAAGATGAAACTCTGATCATAAGCAAATCAGATAAATGAGGAGGTGTAGTTCTCATGAACAAAAATGATTACATGGGAAAAATGGAAACAATACTTAGCGATCCTAGCAAATTTCAGAAAATTACTAGTAATGGTGACATCAGTAATAAAGTAGAAAGACAATTGACCAATTTCCTTAAGGATCTAAAGAAAAAGGGAATAATTACGACCGAGATTCACAATTCAATTAAGCCGACTGGATCATTTACACCACGACTTTATGGTTTGCCTAAAGTACATAAACCGGGTCTTCCTCTACGCCCAGCTCTAGATATGTACAATTCTCCCTACCACAAAATTGCAAAGTGGCTAGTACGAATCTTAGAACCTTTACACAAATCAGTTGTTAGAAATAGTATAAAAGATGTCTTCGACTTCACCTCCAAAGTGGAAAATATTAATGTTAGTATGAAAAATATGATCTCAGTGGATGTAGTATCTTTGTTCACCAACGTACCGCTTATAGAGACTATTGAGTTTATATGCAAGCGAATATCAGAAAAACAAATCAACATTGGCTTGCCTGACGATAGTCTAAAGGAACTGCTCTTAAGATGCACGCTGAATGTCCATTTTGTCTTCAACAATACTTATTATAGACAAATAGACGGGATAGCCATGGGCTCACCTCTAGGCCCGATTTTAGCTGATCTCTTCCTAGCAAAGTTAGAGAATGGACCTCTTAATGAGACTATTAAGAAGCTTGATTTGTATTGCCGCTACATTGACGACACTTCCATTATCGTAAATAAAAACACCAGTAAGGATAAACTCCTAGAACAATTCAACAGTGTTCATTCAGCGATCAGTTTCACTGGTGAAAGCGAGTATGACGAAAAGCTGAACTTCCTTGACGTCAAACTAAGGAGACGAAGTGATGGCACATTAAGTAGAAGCGTGTATAGAAGAATCTTCTCTGCCTGCCAATATACTCACTTCTGCAGTTTCACACCTATCAGCTACAAGAGAAATTTGGTTAGATGTCTCACTAGCAGAGCTAAAAAAATCTGTACAGTAGATACTCTAAGTCAGGAGCTTGAATTTATCAACAACTTACTGACCAAGATCGGCTACCCCATTGCCTTCATTAAGTAGTACATGTATGACATAATGAAGAAGTCGGAGATTTCGACTGTTCGTAAGAAACTTTCATTATTATTATTACCATTATTATTATTATTATTATTATTATTATTATTATTATTATTATCAGCTTTATTCAATATTATATTTTTGGTACAATATAGAATTCTCAGCGTAAAGTATTTGGACAAGTTTCCGTTTCTTTCTTCTTGGTCGGTCCTGGCGATAAATATTGAGTGATCGCCAGTTAGATGTTAGCAGTTCAGTAAATGAACATCTAAATAATGTGCATTCTTTTCGCTGTATATTGCCAGCAACTACATTGTCTCTCATTGAGTTTTTTGTAACTTTGACAACGAAAGGTTGTACACTTTTCAGAAACCTAGCAGAATAGGTTATGCGATTAATAAACATAATGATATATTAAACCAACCAAAAATAGATAACTTGTTGAAATATTTAGATGGGAGGAACAGGTAGCCCTGATGCTCAAGCAGGCCGCTCTTTATATATGAAACTACAATTCAACGGGGATATGGCTAGTGATACTCTGAAATATAGGTTAACGAAAGTAATCAGCAGGACATTCTACACAGCCAATCTTGCGTTGACCTTCTCTAGTCGACCAGCGATGTCTACTCAAACAAAGGATAAGTTACCTGAGTTGGCGTTTTCAATATGCATTTACAAATTCAGCTGCTCCTGTGGAGATAGCTATATCGGGCGTACTACCAGACAACTTAACCAACGAATGAGTGAACATCTACCAGCTCTGTTTATAAAGGGCCAGATAAAAACAATTCGCAGTTCTATCTTGGCACATCTTATTGATAGCGGTCATGCAGTAGATAAATCGAAATCATTTAGAGTGATCTATCGTATACCTCCATCATTTCCCAACGGAGTTCGTTCCCGCATCCTACATATAGCTGAAGCCATAGGAATTCGTACATATAACCCCAATTTATGTGTACAGAAGAAATTCCTAACCCCCTATCCCTTCCGTGGCCAGTTATAACTTAACAAACGATTATTATTATTATTATTATTATTTATTTATTTTATTCTATTTTTGTTATCATTAACCTTATTTTCACATCTAGTATTTGTTTGTAATTTTCCGCCTCTTTCTTCACTATGTAATTATTTACGCACTTATTACGTAATGATTTTAATGTTTTGTGATGACTATGCCTAGTCTTTACCCATGTTTGACCTTCTATTCCCAACGTTTAACTATTGATAAGACATTTGTTATCGTATTTTATTATTCCTACTACTATCAGTATATCTGTCTTCCTATTATCAATTTGTATTTGTACTTATTATGTGCGGTGACGTATTCTATTTCATTGTGATTATTGACCCATATTGCCTTGATTGGTTTAACATTTTCATATAAATATTCATGTATATTAGAGTAAAGCCTGATGACGATCTAATTGAAAACAATTGTTCGCTTATATGTGTTGTTCTAATGTCAAATATGGTACAAATCTTGCAGATATTTATAATTTTTAGTAAAACTGAAATCTCACAAGTTGAAATCATGAGCCAATTGAAGCTAGACCACCATAGAAAACCTGGAAGCACTGGACGGCCGTTTTGTCCTGGTACTGGACTCCTCAGCAGTGCGCATACACGACCCCGCACCTCGCGGGGTTCGGACCCAGGGCCTACTGGTTTCGCGCTCGAGCACTCAAAACTCAAATCATCATTGCAGTCATCTAATCCGCTTACAGTGATTCTTAGCATTTGTCCAATAGGGAAGCTACACGTCGAGATTCTGGAGTTTTCTTCCAAAAGATGATTGCGTGGACTGTCTTCGTCTCTTTTTGATCTTAAATACGAAAGATTAGTTAATTCAGCGAAGAGCTCTCTTTTCGGCGAATTCATTTTCAAAGCTGTACAATCGCAAATATATATACCTATTTTTACAGGATAATAATAACAGTGATAATAAACTTCTATTAGACTTGGTGACAGTAAGGTCAAATAAACAAATATATTTTTAAAAAATTTCAAGCAAAATGGATTTCGCCGAAAATAGAACGTTTCGCTGAACTAATCTTTCTTATTTAATGTCTTGATGGGTGTATTCTTTTTTATCTTTCTTGAGTTCAACCGGCGAGCGTCCTCACAATCCCAAAAATGAAGAAACTCATGCCTGTATCTGTAAGATTCTAACTCAAACTATACAGATTGTTATAATCAGCAACATTACCATCATTTAGTTATTCGTAACGTATCTTCGACACTACGGCGTGCCTCAGAAGATAGTCAATATGATACAGAGTTCATATGATGGATTAAACTGCAAAATTGTGCATGAAGGACAGTACACAGACTCGTTCGAAGTGAAGACCGGTGTTAGGCGAGGTTGCTTACTCTCACCCTTTCTCTTTCTCCTGGTGATCGACTGGATCATGAAGACGTCAACATCTGAAGGGAACCACGGGATACAATGGACATCTAGGATGCAGTTGGACGATCTAGACTTCGCAGACGATCTGGCCCTTCTATCCCAAACGCAACAACAAATGCAGGAGAAGACGAACAGTGTGGCAGCAGCAATAGGTCTCAACATACACAAAGGGAAAAGCAGGATTCTCCGACACAACACAGATTGCACCAATCCAATCACAATTGACGGAGAAGATTTGGAAGATGTAAAAACCTTTTACGTAACTGGGCAGCATCATTGATGAACATGGTGGATCGGATGCAGATGTGAAGGCGCGGATCGGCAAAGCAAGAACAGTATATTTACAACTGAGGAACATCTGGAACTCAAAACAATTGTCAACCAACATCAAGGTCAGGATTTTCAATACAAATGTCAAAACAGTTCAACTGTATGGGGTGGAAACCTGGAAAACTACGAAATCCATCATCCATAAAACACAGGTGTTTATTAACAGTTGTCTATGTAAAATACTTCAGATCCGTTGGCTGGACACTATTAGCAACACCATACTGTGGTAGAGTATAAACCAGATCCCAGTGGAGGAAGAAATCAGGAAGAAGCGCTGGGAGTGGATAGGACACACATTGAGGAAAACACCCAACTGCGTCACAAGACAAGCCCTCACATGGAATCTTCAAGGCCAAAGGAGAAGAGGAAGACCAAAGAACACATTATACCGAGAAATGAAGATAGGCATGAGAAAAATGAACAAGAATTGGATGGAACTTGAAAAGAAGGCCCAGGACAGAGTTGGTAGGAGAATGCTGGTCGGCGGCCTATGCTCCATTGGGAGTAACAGGCGTAAGTAATCTCCTAATCGTCAACTACCCTTTGATACCATCGGATTAGTTAAATTTTATGACAGTAGTATATGTTTGTTTGTTTTTTCAATAATAATAATAATAACTTTTCTATTCAATTTTATCAATTATTAGGTACAAGAGAATCTGGAAAAATATCAATCTCTATATGATATTGTCTTGGTAAATGATGATAGTTTTGAAATTCCTTACAAAATTATCCAAAGTATTCTTATACATAATAAATAACAATAAGCCAAAGATACTGACATACATACATACATACACATGATTATTTGTATCCCTACTATGATTTTTTTTTAAAATGGAATCCATCTCATTTCATCAGAGGAACACATTATTTTGTAATTTAGTCAAAATATTAAAGAAAATGATGTTTTTTTCTCATTATTTAATTATTTTCTATAGAATTATTGTTTAATTATCCTTAAATTGTATATCCCTTTTTCCTAATTTCAATTTTCCCCTTCAATACATACATAGATACACACACATACTAATAGATAGATAGACAGACAGACAGGTTGTGGTACATGTATTCAACCGTGATCTTCAAAATTGTCAATCAATATTTGATTACAATTAAGAGTTATAATCACTATTGTTTTCTTTCTCTATTTTTTGTTTTTCATTCTTGTTAACAGTTCTAATTTGTTTATAGTTCACTCCGTCCACCCTTACCCCCTTTACCACCCGTTTTTTTTCGTACTCCTTACTTCATAAAACCAAGAGAGAGAGAATTCACTATGTTGCAACTTTTGGACAAAGAATATTCTACGTAACAATTTTAAAAGGAACGATAAAAATTAGTTTTCTTTCGTTTGTTTCTATAGCGATAAACATATTTTTCTTAAAAGAATGGCAGTACCCAATTTCACTCTTTCTTTTCTATTATTTATTGATTTTTATTCAGTGATATTTCATCTTTTTACTTTTCGTATTAAATTGAGCATGTTTACCCTAACTGTGTTTGATTCTCTTCTTCTTTTTTTTAATGTGAAAAGAAATGACTGAAACCACCAATTGAAATATATATTCATATTTAATTAACATTGTCAACATTTTCATACAGGAAAGATAGTAATAGAATATAAGTGAATGGAAATATGATGAATCCCATGTACTAGGATTCCGAGGCATTTCTCGTATATCTTGAGACCACTGAGTAAGTAATGCAGTTGTTAGGAGACGGGTACTAGGTAAAAATGGCAAATCAATTGATAAAGTAGTGAAACTTCATCAGTTGAGATGGATCGGACACGTGTTACGTATGCCCAACCACCGACGTGCGATGTTTTATGGTGTAGGTGGGTAGGTTGGAAGAAAACTAGGAGCGGCAAGACGAAAACATGGCACGAATCCATGAAGTCACTAATAAGTGAACTGAACCATGTTGGTAGGTGTAGACTACCTGGTTGCGATCCGCGAGATGATAGCAACCGATGATTACAGACCTTGAATGACATGGCTCAAAATCGTTTGCAATGGCGCAGGTGCATCCACTCCTTGTGTTCTCGCAAATTCTAATCTTCAGAATTCTTCATGTCCCTTTCCTTTTTCTCTTTCCAAATTTATTTTACTGGATTATACTCCTTGAATAACATCTTCAAACCCTAATGTTTCCAATTATTGCCTATACTTTTACTACCTCTACTACTACAGGATTTGAATCGATAATTGTATCTGTGTGCTAATGTGTTATGGCAACTCGAACTGATGTACGTACGTACACCACGTCAAGGTAGCAACAACGGTCGGGGCTAACCAGAAAAAATTTATTTAAATTCTGCCTGGGAGTTAGAAGATCTTTTTGTGGCCCGTGGATCTAACTCCAATTAGATCGTACGAATGTTTGCTTATTCTCGTATATCATCATCGACTTTAATCACGTTAGTCAATGACGGAATTAAATAAGTCAAATAACGAGGATGAACTTTGGAATACATATATTTTGTATATGAGGTGAATGGAAGAGAAGCGACGCAGAGTGGAGATGGCTGGTAAGCCAACTCCATTTTAGTCAAGCGTTGCTCAATATTTACAGGCAGACAAAATAAACTACAGACATGTGATGAGAGTCATGGGATATGATGTGTACACACATATACGCTCATATAAAAACAGTCAAGACTGATAAGCGAATAATTAACAAGGTCAAAATATGACTCAAGTAGAATTAATAGAATGGAATGTCCGAAAGCTAGAATAAGATATATGGGCTTAAAATAATGACTGACACTACAGTCTTCATTTAGGAGAGTTATGACGCCTCATGGTGAAAGCCGAGTTCCAAGGAAGTCACGACGCTGATGCCCCTTCTGACAGCCAAAGCAACCATTTATTTAGGTACATGGAATGCTCGTACAATGCGGGAGAGTTACAAATTGCTTCAGAATTAGTATAGTAGTTCATGGTAATATGACAGAAGTTAACAATTTTAAACTTATTGAGATTCTAACCTATCTTGCTTGCTGTGGAATCTAAAAATCTACAGTGTAATCCACAATGAAATCATGCAGATGTAAATTATCAAAAAAGTCTTATACTACTACAAAGTAACTGTGCTGTAATCTTTTGTTCCTTAATTCATACCCAGTTTGTAGAAATTTCATCATTGTAGTTCTAAATTTGCACTTTAGTTTAGTGTGACCTTTGTAAAACATATTCACATGGTCTCTATACATGTAAATGTTTTACAAAAGCAACATGACAATATTATAAATAACCGTGTTTATTTAAGAATTCATAAAGTTGAATGATCATGATTATTTATCACATTATGTAATAGGTTTAAACATATTATCCTGGTTAACTTTATAACGATACGTAAATATTTGATTGAAGTATATTGAATAAAAGAAATCTAATGTAATCACTGTTATGTAACATAACATTATGATCCGATATAGTTGATATTATGGATGCTCGATTCTATTATTAGAAAGCTATAAGTATCTGTTTCATCTTTGTTAACAGTTATAAGCAAAAATGGATAGTGGCAAGTAGTCGAATCCGGGACGCGCGCTTCGTCTTATTTGGGACTCGTCAGTCGGATGTATCTGCATCGCGGAGTTGACGTTCACTTTGGGACTTGAACTCATTACCATCCGCTTCAAACGCCATCGCGTTATCCACTTAGCTAGTGAGTCGTGATAGGCACTTGCTTGTGTAATGGGGTGAAGTTTAATTCACTTGGTATTGTTTTTTTTAAATCTTCCCATTGATGTATAGGACTGCGATTGATCGGTCTCTTATTGGCATATGTGCATGCTGTGCGTATTGCCTCGATGTTGCCTTAATTCGAGTCTCAGAGTGAACACCAACTCTGAGATGCAGGTACATCCAGCTGACGAGTCACAAATAGGACGAAACGCGCGTTCAACAGGATTCCACTTCTAGCCACTATCCATCTTTGCTTATAATGATTGTGAACTAAAGCAATATCGAGTCACTCCTCACAGGATGTACATGTGCCAATAAGAGACTGATCAATTGGAAGATTGAAGTAAAACAATACCAAGTGAATCTCTTAATAGTTATTAGAAAAATATATTAAAAATTTTTTCGTGGAATACATACTGTTTAAATACTAATTACAAATAACAGTAACATTTGAATCCTGACCAGATTAATATAATGAAAGTGACATTAATGGTAGTAATAGTTTTATTGTGTTGAAGAGTTAATTGATCCAAAATAAAGGCGATCTACTTGAATATGTGGGCTACCTGTTTCTGTCATTTCAATATTTCAACAAGTTATTTGTCTTTTGTTTACTTCAATATATCATTATGTCAATTGATTGTACAATATATTTAGGTGCGTTTGTGAAAAGTTCACAACTTTTCACTGTACAACTTACAAAAGTAACTAATCAGAGACATTGTGGTTGTTGGCTATATCCATCGAAATGAATGTACATTATTCAGATGTCAATTCCTGAACTACTGATATCTAACTGGCAACCACTCAATATTGATCACGAGGATCGATTAATAAATAAGAAACGGAAACTTGTTGAAATACTTTGTGCTGAGAATTCTATATTATCACAGGTTGAAATCATGAGTCAATTCAAGCTAGACCACCATGGAAGTTAGACTCATGATTTCAACCTGTGAAATTTCCAAAAATCTCCGCAAAACCCATCCTAATAATAATCAACCGTCCACTAGTGACTGACTTCAGGAGATACTCCTGAAGTTCTAGTGAGAAGCCGTTACCAGTGGAGTTCAATCAGGTCTGTTGTGAGATATCAGCTCATTGAAGACAGTGGTGTACGGTGGCGCAACTTCGTGGATTGGTTGAAGTTAGACATTAACACCGTTGGATGCCGGCCGGCTCAGTGGTCTAGTGTTTAAGTGATCGCGTGCGAAACCAGCAAGTCCTGGATTCGAATCCCGCGGGGTGTGGGATCGTGGATGCGCGCTGCTGAGGAGTCCCATACCAGGACGAAACGGCCGTCCAGTGCTTCCAGGTTTTCCATGGTGGTCTAGCTTGAATTGAATCGTGATTTCAACCTGTGAAATTTTGTAAAATCTCCACAAAACCCATTCTGATAATTCTATATTATACTAAAAATATACTATTGAATAAAGCTAATAATAATAATAATGACCGATAGATGAAGAAAAAACAAAGTAAGATATTTACATATTATCAAAAATAATGTAAATTAGTAGCTTTTTAGTGAATAAGAACACGAGTGAGGACAATCCAATATGTCCGAACATAAAATTACAGAACATCATACTCAAATCTGAGAATCATGCAGTAAATACTTCATTTGCAAAACATCAGTCAATTTTCTCAAACTTGATTATTCCTTCCACTGATATCAGTTTGTCGTCTCAGATTTCATTGTTTCTGCCTTTGTCATAACAATCCTCTTCCGTTCTCAATCTTTTCTCTTCAATCTTCTACTGAAATACATTCTGTACATACTAACTATCACTATATACTACTTATGTAGATATAAGTATATAAGTAGTTCATAGCATAGTTTAATAAATATATTTGACTTTTAATAAAATAAATAAAGGAATTAAGATAAAATTGACTAATGAAGATAACCAAAATATTCTAGAATATAATTTTTTGAAATATAATAGTTGTATAGATTTTGTTGGTCTATAAACAGCACAATCTAATGGTGATAAATAATTATGAATATTGATTGATTTATGATAAGTTTTTGTGAATAAAATAAATTTATATGTTTTATTCCA